ATTATAGCAGTTCTTCTGCCCATAACCACCCTCTCACCCACAAACCATCTCATCTCCTATTCCTTCTCCCATCCCATTCTTCATTAAGATTCATTTTTAATTATCTTTATATACAGAAGATCAACTGTATGCTGAGTAAAGATTTCAACAGTTTGCAGTCACACAGATACACAAAGTATAAAGTACTGTTTGAAGACTAGTTTTACTGTTAATTCTCATAGTACAACTCATTAAGGACAGAGATCCTACATGGGGAGTAAATGCACAGTGACTCATGTTGTTGATTTAACAATTGACACTCTTATTTATGATGTCAGTGATCACCAAGGCTCTTGTCATATGCTGCCAAGGCTATGGAAGCCTCTTGAGTTCACAAACTCCAATCTTATTTAGACAAGGCCATCAAAGTGGAAGTTTTCTCCTCCCTTCAGAGAAAGGTACCTTCTTTTTTGATGGCCCCTTCTTTCCACTGGGATCTCTCAGAGATCTTTCATTTAGGTAATTTTTTTTTTTTGCCACAGTGTCTTGACTTTCCATGCCTGAAATACTCTCATGGCTTTTTAGCCAGATCTGAATGAACTGGGCCAATCTGAGGCCAGGAGCCCAGAGCCTAGTCTGGGTCTACCATTTGAGTACAAGGACTCACATAGTTGAGCATCACCCCATGCCTCTTAGTATGCACATTAGCAGGAAACTGAATCAGAACCAGAGCCCGGACTCCAACCTGATACTCCTATGTGGGTTGCATGTGCCCCAAGCAGTGTCTTCATTGTTGAATCCTATTTATGTGTTTTGTCTTGACAAATTTTATCTTATCATGTTTGCTATTGCCATACCAAATTATATCAGAATAACTACTTAGAACCTATTGTTATTTTTACCTTACAAAAACAAGTCAGAATATTCTAGATCTCAAAGAAAGCATCTGGGGGCTGGTGCTGTGGCGCAGCGGGTTGTTGCCCTGTCTTGAAGCACCAGCATCCCATATGGGCTCCAGTTCAAGACCCAGCTGCTCCACTTCTGATCCTGCTCTCTGATATGGTCTGGGAAAGCAGTGGAAGATGGCCCAAGTCCTTGGGCCCCTGCACCTATGTGGGAGACCAGGAAGAAGCTCCTGGCTCCTGGCTTCGGATCAGTGCAACTCTGGTCCTTGCGGCCAATTGGGGAGTGAACCATCAGATGGAAGACCTCTCTCGCTCTCGCTCTGCCTCTCCTTTCTCTGTGTAACTCTGACTTTCAAATAAATAAATCTTTTAAAAAAAGAAAAAGCATCTGGTCCACCTATATCCATTTGACAAGAAATATTGATAAGTGGTTTTGTGTAATTCTTTGGTCCAAATTAGCTATTATTGCCCCAGATTCCCTACATTCATCATAAGTTGGATGACTTTTTTCTTCTTTTGTGAAAATATAAATAGCATGACTGTAATTTATTGTTTTCAAATATATGTGGCATATAATCCTCATTTTAGAGTTCCTGTAGGAAATAATGCTAAAATATGTATTAACATGTTCTTATCCAAACAAAATCATGTTCCTTATTGAACCTTCTCAAATGGTATCAAGGAGTTAAAGTTAAGGGCCATAAGTGTACATAATTTCTGTTCCAAGGGGTTATAAAGGGCTTGTAGTATAATTCTCTTTTCAAAAAGAATTTGGGTGTTAGTAAAACCTATGCAAACTACCAACATCCAAGAGTATTGGGGGTAGATGTTCCAATTTGTTCTGATGCTACTATGAAAGGAATCTATGAGCAGAAGGCTAAAACAAATTTTGTAATTCATAAATTATGTTCAGTGCCATTGTAAATGGATTTTTATATTCAAAGATACAGTGGGCCAGTGTTGTGGGATAGCAGGTTAAGTTGCCACGGCCAGCGTTGCTGTCATCCCAAATCTGAGTGTCATTTCAAGTCTCATCTGCACTGCTTCCCATCCTGCTCCCTGATAATGTGCCTGGGAAAGCAGTGGAAGATTGTGCAACTGCTGGGACCCCTGCTACCCATGTAGTATACCTGCATGGAATGCCAGGCTCCTGGCCTTGGCTCAGCCTGGGCCTTTGTGGCCATCTGGGGACTGAACCAGCAGATGGAATATCTTCCTTTCTCTCTCTCTCTCTCTCTCTCTCTCTCTCTCTCTCTCTCTCTGTCACTCTACCTTTCAAATAAAATATATATCAAAAATAAACATGATTATTTTTAATATTCATTGTTCTCAAACTTCTGCATGTCATATGACTGACACACATCAGCCCCATGAGAGAGAAAAATGCTCTAATGAAGTAAAGCAAAGAAATGAGGATTAATATGGTCCTTAAACGCCATGCTGGAATTCCAGCTTCTAGGAGGGTTACATGTTTCCCTTATGCTGACATCCAGCAGTATGTTTCCTCTCTTGGGCATAAGAAAATCTAAAGTGACAGAGGTGACACTACTGTACACTGAAGTAGATGCACATGGACCAAAACATGTTCACCTGACCGTAATCCAATACAGTGCTCCCCTGTGGACTCATGAATAAATCATCTTTGCTTTCTAGACTTAGACCACGAAGGTCAGGGAAACTGGCCTTGCCTTTTATCTGCACGGACTAATCCACTGGCACATTTCCATCAGGAGAGACCAAACTGGATCTAAAGTATAGTCTTTACATATTTTCTACACTTCCACCTAGGCCAAGAAGAACATTTGGGCTGCAAGGCTCCTTTAGTAAAGAGACATGGGATGATAGCATGTGCAGCTAGTGATGCTGCCCCAGCGCTTCCAAGGAGATTGGAGCCACACGTGCTCATGATAGGTCTGTCATGGCACCAAGGACCCTAAATAGTATAGAAACCCCAGCCGTGCCTGATGCATAAAAGACAAGGAGGCAGCACATTTCAGAGTGCATGCTCTGCAGTCACAAAGCCTGGGGTCAGAGCCATCTGGGTGACCAACCTCTGTGTGACCTGAAGGACAGTGTGAGGACATGTGTTCAACCTCATTGGTAGATAACAGGGAGGAGAGCCTGCTTGCCAGCAACAGCTGTCAAGGGTGACAGCACCAAGTCAGGTCAGCGCACCACATCCCCTCCCAGGAGACCCTGAAGCCAAGCCTGTTGATGCAGGCAGCCAGGGTGGCCATGGTGAAGGTGCAACTGTGTCCTGTGGGTGCTGAACAGGACACTTGGATGAGTCTGGTGGGATATGTGGTGCTCCCAGGCTGTTTTCAACTGGTTCTTCCCTTGGTGGCTAGGGGAGGGAGTCTGCAACACGTGGCCAGTAGGGGCTCGGGCTGGGTCCTGGGAAAATAAGAAGTCCATGGAGGCCAAGCCCAGGTTGAAGCCCAGGCTCTGCAGTGGCCCTTGTAGCACCAAACACCAGCAGCCAGCAGCAGGACGGCCCGCAGGTGCAACAAAGTCATGATGGGCCTAGAGCCAAGCCTGGTGTTTTGCCTTTTGGTGCCTTCTGTTGCATCCCCACCCCCAACCCCTGGGCTGCTGTTGCGCCCCTCCCTCTTGTGCCACGCCCCCTCATTGTCACTTCTGATGTGGCTTCACAGGCACTTATCTCAGCATTTGTGCACGAGGTCTTCCACGGACAGCACAGGACAGCACGTGGAGGAGAGCATCTCCTCCACAGGGCATCCATCAGACCTGTGAGCGTGTCTTTCACGATGGGAAATTGTTTTCGAAAATGTCACTGCAGCTCCTGCTGCGTGGCACCTGCGGCCCTGGATGCGGTGGCTCTGGGAGAGGATGATTCTGTAGCTCCTCTGCTTGAGCCCGCGCCTGCGTCTGCGCCCACGCCCACGCCCACGCCCTTGCCCGCTCCAAAGCCTGAGCCTGAGCCCCAGCCCCAGCCGGAGGCCACACCCGGCTCTGTCCTCCACCACGACCTCTCTGAGGATCCAGATCCCCTGGGACCAGTGCAACAATTCCTAGCCCGATTTTTCCCGGAGTACTTCTCTAAGAAGCCAGTCCGCAAAATGCGGAAGTTCCAGCGGCTACGAAGCAGGCGCGTCGGGGTGACTCTGCCGCCCCCCGTGGCCAACAAGAGGTTCCGGGTATTCAAGTCTCCCTTGCCACCTGCTGAGGCGGAGGAACCGCCTCAAGAAGGGGTGAACAATAAGAAAGAGGAAGAGAAAAGTGGTGCCCCTTGCCTAGGAGATGAGCTAGCCAGACCCCTGGAGACAGAGGGCGGCCTCCTTCCCCCAGAGAGCACTCCTGGGACTCTTGGGGGACAACTCCATCCCAGCCATTCGGTGGACACTGTGAATGAAGAGGCCCAGAGCCTGCCTGAGTGTGGTCATGGTGGTGCTAGTGGTGAAGATCCTGCACAACATTCACTCTCTCTTGCAGGGCCGAGTGACACTGAGGGCCCTGCCAGTGAGTATCTGAAGGAAGGGGAGAAAGAAGAGGAAGAGGAGGAAGTGGAGGAGATCGCCCTCCTAGACCCAAGAGAGGAAGCAGCCAGGCCCCTGCAGGCCCAGGAAGACCTCCTTCCCACAGCAGGCAGGCCTTTGGAGGGACATCTCCGTCCCTGCCATTGGGTGGATTCCCCCATGGAGGAGGCCCAGGGCAACACTGGCAATGAAGAACCTGGATCAAGTTGTGTCCTGCTGTCTGGGCCCAGTAATGTTGAGGGTGAGGCCACCCAGTGAAGGAGACCAGCAGCCAGGGGAAGGGAAGGAAAAAGAAGAGAAGCAGATCAGATCTCCTCTTCCTGGGAACAAACCAGCTGGAACCCTGGAGACCAGGAAGACCTCCTTCCCATGCAGGTGCCTCTGGCCTTTGGAAGGGAAACCTGCAGCCTTGCTACTCCATGGACAGCCAGAGAAAGGAGGCCCAGTGTTGTCCCGGAAGTGGCCACCCCAGTGACTATGAGGGGCCCAGAATAAGTCGTCAGCACCTTCCTGAGCCCACAGAGACTGAAGAACCGAAGGGAGATGGCAGAGCAAGAGGAGAAAACCAGCCCCTCTCCCTTTGAAGAAAAACCGTCTAGACTGTTGGCTGCCCAGGGAGACTGCGCTCCCTCCCTGGCATAGCAGGCCTGGCTGGGCCTATCCAGGAAAGCCTCCAGGTCTGCAGTGCAGTGCCTGCTGGTCCTGTGGCCACACAGCCTCACTGCAGGGACCCTGCCTCAGGCACAGCCCCTTCTGCAGCTTGGCAGTGCTGCCAAAGCCAGCTGCAGGCTGTCTCTCGCTGCCCTAAGAGGGAATGCCAGGAGCCCCTCTCTCAAGGCCTATGGACAGAAGGCCAGACCATGCAGGCAGCAAACTTCACAGATGGTCCATCTGACAATAGCACTGTGCCACCTGCCTCTGCTGGTCTTCAGTTGAGCCTGGGGCCCACAGGGATGCCTCTTACTCTGTCACTTCTGACACCTGCAGGACTCCTCTCCTGTGTCACTCATGTGAGTTGCCCCTGCCTCCCAAATAGACTTCCATTGCTGTTGAGGGGGAGAAGGCACTGAACACTAAGGCCATGGAGGATAAAATAGAGGCCTTGGGATGGGACAGTCACTGGGTAAATTAAACTGTCCTTCCAGTTTCCCCTCCCCTCCCCTTCTCTCTCTCTATCTCTCTCTCTCTCTCTTGTCTCTCTCTCTCTCTCATATTTGCTTATCTATTTGAAAATCAGAGTTACTGAGAAAGAAAGAGGCAGAGATATCTTCCATATGCTTGTTGTTGCCACAGATGGCTACAACAACCAGCACTGGGTCAGGCTGAGTCCAGGAGCCAGGAGCTTCATCCAGGTCCCCCACATGAGTGTAGAGGCCCAAACACTTGGGCTATCTTTTACTGCTTTCCTCAGGTACACTAGTAGGGATCTGGATCAGAAGTATAGCAGCTGGGACTTGAACCAGTGCCCATATGAGATGCCAGCATCACGGGTGGTGACTATCTGTTGTGCCACAACGCCAGCCGTGGTCCACCAGTGGCAGAGAGTGTAGACTCCCCATCCCCACCCACATAGACACGGCAGGTCCCGAGTGTTGCTACCACTGCTTGGCTTGGAAGAACTGCCTGCCCCACCCCAAGCTTATCTGTCCCTCTGCCTTCCCCCCACTACATTTTCCTAAGGAAACTACATTTTCCTAAGGAAACAGCACACATAACTCACAAGTCTGCTCCTCTGTCTCTGCTGACCCTCTTCCTCCCCTTAGTTCTAGTCTCAATGTAGGGGTTGTATCTTCATCCATACTTTCAACCCCCATTTCTGATCCCATGCTCCACCTTCTCTTTCAGGTGGTTCCGGGATCCAGTGAAAAGAGATAAGGCACCAGCTCACTTAGACTAAGGGTTCCCACTGCAATTTTTGACCATCCCTTTAGCCCAGAAACTGCTCTTCATTCCAACCTTAAGAACCCTGAATAACTAGAACAAAGAGACTCTCATCAATGCTTCTGAATTTATAGGCCATCCCACGGCCGGCGCCGCGGCTCACTAGGCTAATCCTCCACCTTGCGGCGCCGACACACCAGGTTCTAGTCCCGGTCGGGGCGCCGGATTCTGTCCCGGTTGCCCCTCTTCCAGGCCAGCTCTCTGCTGTGGCCAGGGAGTGCAGTAGAGGATGGCCCAAGTGTTTGGGCCCTGCACCCCATGGGAGACCAGGATGAGTACCTGGCTCCTGCCATCGGATCAGTGTGGTGTGCCGGCCACAGCACGCCAGCCGCGCCAGCCATTGGAGGGTGAACCAACGGCAAAGGAAGACCTTTCTCTCTGTCTCTCTCTCTCACTGTCGACTCTGCCTGTCAAAAAAAAATTAAAAAAAAATTATAGGCCATCCCACAATGTTTCCTGCAGTCCCCTCCACCCCAACAGGCAGTGCCTCTGCAGCATCGCTGTCCAAGCCTGTGGGGGCATCACTAATTTGAAGGATGTTGCCCTCCTTCCAAGTCTGTTATCTTCTATCCTCCCTCAGTGTCCAAGGAGACCTGCCTCCCATTCTCTATGGTGCTTGCTGGTGCTGGGAACACACCACCATTCATAGCATTGCCTTAGTCAAGTCGCTTACTGCTGGTTTGCCTGCATGGTCAGCCCAGGAACTAACTGTAATACCAATCATCCCTATAATCCAGGAGCTCCCACTCTGCTGACACATGGGGTCACATTGTGAGAGCTCTTTTTTTTTTTTTTTGACAGGCAGAGTGGACAGTGAGAGAGAGAGACAGAAAGGTCTTCCTTTGCCGTTGGCTCACCCTCCAATGGCCGCTGCGGCCGGCGTGCTGCGGCCGGCGCACCACACTGATCCGATGGCAGGAGCCAGGTACTTCTGGTCTCCCATGGGGTGCAGGGCCCAAGTACTTGGGCCATCCTGCACTGTACTCCCTGGCCACAGCAGAGAGCTGGCCTGGAAGAGGGGCAACCGGGACAGAATCCGGCGCCCCGACAAGGACTAGAACCTGGTGTGCCGGTGCCGCAAGGCGGAGGATTAGCCTAGTGAGCCGCGGCGCTGGCCAGAGAGCTCTTTCTTTTGGAGGGAGACCAATGATCTAAGCATGAGCAGTTGAACTAACTTCTGCTGCTCAGCCACCTAGGGCCTGCCTGATGCTATCAGGTATGTGGGTTTGACATGCTCTGCATGTGTTGTACCAGACAAAGCCTGACTGGCTCACCCTATCAGGACAGAGACTTTTTTGGCTTTGTAGTTGCCACCAGACTTCCCAGCACTGTGGACCATACCTCATTGTTTGGCAACTTCCTCTAGAGCCAGTAGTGTCTTTGGAGCCAGCAGTCCCTCTGGATGGTGGGAGTTTGGGTTTTCTGTCTCCCTTCCAACCCCCCTCCCTCCCTACCCCTTCCAATTCCAGTGCTTAGGAACAGGGACAGTTAGCACCATTCCTGTCCATGCTTTGGGTCAGTAACTTTGGAGCCACCTTGCCAGAGCATGGCTGTTGCAAGGGGAGGGGTCAGCAACATTGCTATGTGTGGACTCACTTCCAGTGCTCCTCACATTCCAGGCATCTGTGGCCCTCCTGCCCTATACACACACACACACACACACACACACCATACTTTGTAGTGGATGGCACCCATGTCTATGCCCTTCTGCTTGCTTCCCAGCAGTGCAACTGGGGTTTATCTAGATAGCAGATACCTACACTTAGAAGATCCATGACTTTGGTGAAACAAAATGTGTTAGGAGACTTCTTTCCACATTCCATCCTAGCACTTGGAGCCTGTGTGGCCATGTCAGAGTGCTGCAGTTGCAAACTCCAGCACCTGCCCTTTGTATGGACACCTGTCTTGTTAGATTTTCATTGAGAGCACCTGGAACCTATTTCTGTAGCACATAAGTGGTGCAGCCGGAGGAATCAACACCTTTCCTGTGGTTGAAGGCCCTTTTGCTCTGTCTTCATATCAGTAACCCTGGGGCGCAGAGAGGGCCAGGACTCAGGCAGTGCATTTTTCTGGGACCACTGCCATAACCTCTGATAGGCAGCCCTAATGGACCTTCTTACCACCAAGGCACCTGGGGCCAGGTGGGCCCTGGGCTTGTGGGTGATGCCATGGAGGCCAGCACTGTAACTGCTCTGACTGGAAATACTTATGGTCTGATACATAGCACCTGGGCCCACCTGGGCAAAACACAAGGGGGTTCTGTGATCATACACTTGCAACAGGAAACTGGGGTGGGATCTCTCTCTGCCTTGCAAATTTAAAAAAGTTAAACTATAGCTTCCCTTTCAGTAAAAATGCCAGGGTTCCAGGCAGCCAGTGTTAGATGTCCCTTTTGACTTTGGTGAAACCAGCATTGTTGACTAAGTGCTTGGGTTTGGGAGCAGCTGTGCTCTGTGTGTTCTGTGGGTACAGTCAGCAGCTGCTGGAGTACTCCCCTGTGCTTGGCTTCATAGTAGATACCAAAGCATTTCTTTTTTCCCTATCATTCCCTTTAAAATTTATCCTGCACTCTTCTTAGAGAAGCCAGAGGCCCCAAAGCTTATTGTGTGTGTGTGATGTGCATGTGTGTATGTTTTAAGTGTGTGTATGCTGGAAGGCATGGGGCAGGCGAGCCTAATGAGCACTGCAGTGGATGTGAAGGCCCCCGTGTGGACTGTACGGGACCTCTGCGTAGATCACCGGCCGCACCCTCCCTGACTTCACGTGGTTGCCTGAGGACCCAACTCTGCACAGCGTCTTCACTGTTAGAGCCTGGAGGACTCGCCCTGCTGCCCACCAGCACTCCCTGTTCCTTAGACTTTCCCAGCCCTGTTATCAGTAAAACCATGTTCTTGTTCTGCCTCTGCTCCTCTTTCTTTGCTTTGTGACTCACCGTGGATTAAGAGTCCACATGGGCTAGTGGTGATGCGTCAGGCCAGGCTGTGCCAGTTTGCAGTGAGAATAGCATGAGTAAGTAGCTTTCTGTTATGATTGCACAGGCTGACTCCGGAAGTCTCTGTGTTTGAGCGTCAAGAAGGAGGAGCCAGGCGTAAGTGAGTCCCAGAGGGGGAATGACCAGGGACCCCCTCCTCCCGCTCGCCTCTTCCCTCTGCGTTTCTCTCCCAGCACTGTGGCATCACTGAAGACTAGGTTCTATCTGTCCTGTGTTAAGATGCTCTGCTTTTTAATTTTAGTGGTTTATAAAACTGCTCAAATGTCCTCTGTAGGTACATTTTTCTTTATACTAAAGCCAGACATGCTCATGCATTCCTGATTCTCCCAGAGCAGATGGGCTTGGTATCTAGCTCCATGTATCTAATGTGACCAAGAAAGGAAGAGCTCATGTCTGCATTGTCATTACTGCAAAATTAAATTTAAATTTAATTTAAAATTTAAAATTTAAATTTAAAATGCAACTTGCTTGATATGAAAATAGAGCCAAAAATATCCCATGATTGAGCAATATTCTATGAAATACAATATTCTGTTCTGTTTAATTGGGAACCCAGGCAGATGTCCTTGAACTCTTCCTCTTGCACTTTCACCAGGTTCTGACCACAGGGAAATAAGAGATATGATCCTCTGTCCTGTAAAACTGTACAGGTCTTGGCAAGATTGAAATTAGAGCACTGAGTATTAACAGATATCTGGCATAGGATGAAAACTGAGGTACACATCAGGTAAGAAAGGGGTAGTACCTGAAGATGATTCTCTGGAATGAGTCTAACCAGTAACTGAAGGGTTTGCAGCTTGCAGATCCCAAATAGGATGCGTGATTTTTTTTTTTTTTACTTAAAGATTCTACCTTACCAAACAGCACTAAAATATTATAAACATTTGGGCTTAATTGCATTGAATTCTGCTGTTCATGTAAGTCAACAAAATATTTCCTGTATCATTTAAGTTATCATTTGTTTATCTTGACTTTTCACTTCTTGATTCCGTCCAAACACAAAACAGAGAAATATGTAAGAGGTCTATAAATGAAACTGATTTCATTCACCATGAAATTCAGAACCAAAAAACTGCTTTGTAGCTGAAAGTGTTCAGACAAACTATTTTCATTTTATAGGTGAAACTTCTGGGAGGATAAGACTGAAGAACTCCTAATTACCCAATTGTCCGTTTTAGTTTAAGTAAGTATAATTGCATATTATGGGAATTATTCTGAGTGAAAGAGAGAGGCAGACTTTCTGAACACCTCCATGACCGTAATGCTGCTATGATGATCTCAACTATCTTACTGGTAGAGACACCTACTTTTCCATCACTAATATTAGCAGAGAATAGTATTTAATATTGCCTTTACTTTGTGTGGCTAAATCTCTACTTCCCTTTGTTAAAGTGGACAACATGTAATTGGGTCTGCAGTGTGTGAATTGTTGGATGCTGAATGACTCTTGTAGGTTTCCAGGATCTTATTAATAAGTTGTAGGTTTCTAGGGAGGATCTGAGTTACATCCTGAACTAAATGATGATGTACTTTGAGGAAATGAGGTCGTCTGTCAAATAAGGATACTGATACTTATCTATCTCAAGGGATTTTGTGAAGCATTAAATAAATCAATGAGCAGACATTTATATGCATGTGTATGTTTTCAATATTTGTATTTACTTAAACAGAATTCTAAAGAATGTACAGTAAAATTGTTTGTGATGTATTTTCCTTAACCAGTTCTGAGTTCCTCTCTTAAGCTGACTTAAATGAACAAACACATATATGTATTAGGTGTGTGAAAACTCCAAATACTGCTTCTCACAGAACCTTGTTCAAAGCCTCCCACCTCCCCCTTTGCATCAGTCCTTAAATCAATAAACTTGAGGATGCCTGGGTTTTTGTACACATTTATTCAATCCGCAAAATTTATCAACCTCCACCAGATGCCAGCTACTGTTCTTCTGTTTGCTTTACAGTTTATATTTAGGTAATAGATCAATGACAGAACAAGTAGTAAAAAATAAGTGATTAAATTAACCAGCACATCAAGGAGGTGCTACAGAAAACTTCATCCCTGGTTCCATCACCTCCCTTTCTGATCTCCCCCAAACCCCAAGACTTAGCCACTCCTCTCTGAATCCCTCCTCCTACAGATGAGAATCTCTGCATCATTCAAGCCTGTAAAGGAGGAGAAAAAGGAATCAAAGGGTCGATCAATTATCTGGGAAGCTCTCGTCATGTGACCGGGCACACACATGTCAGAGTCGTGGAGCTTGTAGACTCTCTGGACCGCAGAGGTCATGGGTGCCCGTGACCGTGGAGGTTACTGTGGCTGCAGACATTGAGGTCACCTTCACCATGGACAGAGGCAGTCACAGACCGAAGAGATCGCAATCCCTCCAACCCGGAGGGCGCACTCATTCCAGACCAAGAGTGTCCCAGTCAGTACAGACGATGGTCACGTCCCTCAGACCAGAGAGGTTGATGGCTCCAGTGTGTGATGTTCATGTCCCTCAGTTGGAGGAGATCACATCGCCGCAGACTAAAGTGTCTGAATCACCGCAAATTGTGCTGGCCGCAATGCTGCCCACTGCGGTGGTCGCGTCGCTGCATATTGTGGTTGGTGCATTGATGCAGATTGTGGCCTCACAGCATAGAGTCATGCATTGCTGCACACTGTCGTGGTCGCAATGAGCAGATTGTCGTGTTGCATTGCTGCAAGCTGGTGGTCGCTGTGCAGCAGGTTTTGGGGTGCACTGCTGCATGTTGTAGGGGCCGCATCGCTGCACGTTGTGGAGGTCGCCGTCCCTACAGTGATTGGTTGCTGAGTCGAGGTCGCCGTCCCTACAGTGATTGGTTGCTGAGTCTATTGGAGGCCACTTCGGGTGGAATTGTCTCCTCATTTCAACTTCAGATCTCTCTCGTCCGATACCTCTCTCCTTTAGGACACTTGGAACAGTCTCAGTCTGGATTCCCGGAACAGAACCCTACACCGCTGTGCTTGAAATGTCTCACGATGTGTCTACCTTACGCAGAACTATCCATTTACAGTTCACATGGACTCCACTTTGGACAGTCTTTTCAAGAAATTTATCTGTTAATATTCAGTTTCTCAGTTTTCTTTGAAGGTCTTAATTTTATTTTATATTTTTCATTTTTATTGAATTTTGTGAATTTCCATTGTAACTAATTATTTTTAGTTTTCATTTTAGTTTTAAATTTTAATAAATTTTTAGTTTTTATTTTATTTTAAATTTCACTTCTTAGTTTTTATTTTGTTAAAAGTTTTAAGTAATGGTTTTTAATTTTAATCATATTTTATCTTAACTTTTTTAATTTTAAGATTTCATTTCATTTGTTTCAAATTTTATTTTTAAATTTTTAAATTTTTGATTTACTTTTTAAAATTTTGTTCCCTTAAAGAAAAACCATCTCATGTATTTAATTTTATTAGTTTCATTGTAATTCATAACTTTTAGTTTTTATTTTATTTTCAAATTTTAATTTCAGATTTAGTTTTTAATTTTAAATTTAATTTTTAGTTTGTTAAAAGTATTGTTGTTTTTAATTTTAATCATATTTTATCTTTAGCTTTTTAAATTTCATTTGTTTCAAATTTTTATTTTTAAGTGTTTTTATTTTATTAGTTTTAAAGTTTATTTACAGAAAACCTATCACATGTATTTCATTTATATTTTATTCATATATTTTTCATTTTTCTTTAATTTTTGTAATGACATACTTCAATAAAATTTATAATCCGTTTATTTTCATCTAATTCTTAAAATTTTTTTAAGATTTATTTAATTATTTGAAAGGCAGAGTTGCAGAAGATAGAAGTGGAGAGAGAGAGAGAGAGAGAGAATGGGGGTGGGGGGTGGACCTGAAGCCTTGCCACTGTACGCCTCATCTTTCTGGGACTGCTTGAGGATGCATGGGTTTTTGTAAACATTTTTTCAATCAGCAAAATTTATCAACCTCCACCAAATGCCAGCTACTGTTCTTCTGTAAGCTTTACAGGTTATATTTAGGTAATAGATCAGTGACAGAACAGGTAAATGTTCCAAGAAGTGATTGAATTAACTAGCGCATCAGGGAGGTGCTACAGAAAACTAGACACCAGGGACCGGAGTTCAGGTGCTGGAAGGTGAGGGAGGTCGCCATTTGACAGTGATCACCAGGGGCGGTGCTGTTACACAGTAGGCCAAGCCTCTGACAGTGATTCCAGTCCTGGCTGCTCTTCTGATCCAGCTCACTGGCCTGAGAAAGCAGCAGAGGATGGCTCCAATCCTTGATCCTCTGGACCGGCCTGGGAGACTTGGAAGAAGCTCCTGGCTTGGAGATACAGAAAGGTATCCGCTCCCCAACTGGCCACTACAGCCAGAGCACCGATCTGATGGCAGGAGCCAGGTGCTTCTCCTGGTCTCCTATGCGGGTTCAGGGCCCAAGCACTTGGGCCATCCTCCACTGCACTCCCTGGCCACAGCAGAGAGCTGGCCTGGAAGAGGGGCAACCGGGACAGAATCCGGTGCCCTAGCCGGGACTAGAACCCGGCGCCCCTATGGGGTGCCGGTGCCGCAGGCGTTGGATTCATCTACTGCGCCGCAGCGCCGGCCCTTCACTGACACTTGTAGGGGAATTTTTTTACTTTGAAGCCGCCAACAAGGAACCGGCAGCTGTACTGCCGGCATTATGGCGTAGCAGGTTAAGTCACCGCCTGCTCCTAACCCGCAGGAGCCGCTTATTAGGAAGAGGAAGGCCGTGCGTGCATTTGCGTCAGGCGTGGAAGTTGATTGGTCAGCTGAAGTAGGAGCGGGTGGGGGGGGGCCCGGCTGTGTGCGCAGGCGCGGATCTTCAACAGGCCTCTAGAGGCGCATGCACGTCTTCGGTGGTTGGAGATCTTGGCCTTAAAGCTCGTTAAGTTGACAGAGCGGTCGGTAGCTTACATTAGTGTTTGCTGTCCCGTCGTCCTGACGAGTTCTTCTCCAAGTGAAGCTTCCCGGAGTTTCCTGGGATTCGGCAAGATAAGCCCGAAAGTTTCAGTTCGCTCTCCCTTAGCCCGCCCGCGTGTGGTTTCGCCTCTGTAGGCTGTGGAAATATTTTTGTTTTCTGAAGAAAATTTGTATGTGATAAGTGAACAAGGTGTTGCTGGTTTAAAATAAGCAACAGAGTGGTCGTTTTGTGACTGGGTAGGTGAAGTAATAGGCGGTTATTTCTGTCGGAAGAAAGATCAGTTAATCGCATTTAGTTTTATCAAGGCTACACATTTTGGTAATCCTGGCCTTCTAAATAGCCCTTAGTTTGCTCCGGCCCTGATTGGTTAAATCTGTGTCTGGTTTTGAGGAAGGAGCCAATCAGACGGAGCCAGCTAATGTTTATAAAGAGCAGACATCGGGAAGCTGCTTTGGCAGCTCCTCCCTTGGAGCCCCCCTCGTGACTGCTGTGGCAAGGGGTTTCTCACCTTCAGAAATCTCACTTTGCTCACTGCCCTGTCCACGTGGAAATTCTTTGACGTGAGGTAAGAACCGAGACTCCCACAGCATTTCAGGAAGGGTTCAGAGTAATTTATTAATATTATTCTCAATGAACTTAAATTACTCTTCCTGGGCCTTTGCAGTTAAAATTGTTTTCACATTGTCACAGGATGACGGTGTAGTAAGAAACTGTCTAAATCAGCTAGGGATCTTTAGCAACAGAAACTGACCCTACCTACTGTAAAGGGGAATTTTCCTGGGTGGATATGGGCAACCATAAAACTGATGGAAGAGCAGAAGTGGGCCTCAAGGAAGGTGGGGCAGCTCAGCAGATCCAGGTGGTCAGTGTCAGAGTGCGGTCTCTAAATGGGTGCTGGTGCTAGAATCAGTGTGCTTCCCCCATTTTCTGTTAGTGGTCCCCTCCTTTAAGAGAATACCATGTTTTTTCCCCCACTCATCCAATTCTTCCTCACATATTTATCTAGTGCAAGGGACCCTCTTAGATGCTAGGGTCACAGTAGAGAAGCAAGCAGACATCCCTGCCAGCATGGTACTTCCATTCTAGTGAGGAGAGGCTGGTAATGGCTCACCAGAAACAGTGAATGAAATCTGTTCATAAAGATGGAAATGCATGTTATGGATGATAAACAAAGGAGGGAAATGGAGATGGTGCTGCAGGGTTAAATTGAGCATCCAGAAAGGGTCGACCTTAGGAGGTGGTGTTTGTTTGAAGACCTGGCAGAGGTTGATGTTTGCGTGGGAGTGACTTTCCTGGTAGGGGGGCTGGTGCTGACTTGCGTTTTACAAGGTTCCCTCTGACTGCTCTGTTGAAAATACACTAAAGGCCACGTAAAGCAGAATCAAGGCCAGCCATGAGAAGGTGTCTGCAGTCATCCACGTGGGAGGTGATTTGGGCTTGGGGAGAGTGATCCCAGTGCAGGGGAAGAGAAATGATTGGGTTCAGATTTTTTTTTTCTTCAAGAAAGAACTGAGAAGATTAGGTAGTAGTTTGGGTTTGAGGCTGAAACGAAGAGATGGATTCCAGATTTTCTGGCCTGAATAACTCTGAAGATGGAAAAGGCTACAGGAAACAGCAGGTTTTAGTAGAGACTGAGAGCTTGGTTTGGGTGTGTTAAGGGTGACACCAAGTAGAGGTGTCAGGAGTAGGCAGGTGGACATGCTGGTTAGGCATGTAGGGAGAGTCTTGTACTGTGAATATCATTTGGGAGACATCAGTAGATGCCTGATATTTAAAGCCACAAGATTGGCTGAGATCAACATGAGAGTGAGTTTGAAGAAAAGAAAAGAGACATGAAGCTGTGACTTGAGGAGAGAAACTAGAGAAAGGGAGATTGGAATGAGTGACCTAATTAATTAATCAAAATTGCATCTTGTGGTCTTCCCTGTGTCTAGGAATGGGAGTACCATGTTTAACTGGCTCACAACACTAGTGGGCAGTGGTGCAGGTGGTTCCCCAAGTCATTATCGGAAGGAATGGACCTTGTAGAGGCATCAAAACATGTGACTGCCTCACCTCTCTTTCCACACCTCTCTTTTCTTTTTAATATTCATTTACCTATTTCACTGAAGTATATGAAAGTAAATTCCTTATGGGATACCAAGGCACACTGATCTGGATTGTATAAAGTTACTGGGTTCTTGAGCAGATACAGACTGTTCTATTTCTTAATACTAATAAACTCAAACATCCCCAGTGCACATTAAACTCCAAACACTTGGTTACCAAATTGTATAATATATCGAAGACATTTTAGGGAAGGATAGTGTCTTACTTATCTCCAAGTCTCTAATACCAAACATGGAATCACCATAGGTTAAGTGTTCAGTATCTGTTTATAATAAATCAATTCATGAATCATTTGGGAAGTTGATGCATTTATTTCCTTTCTGTTTTAGAGCAATATCTTTATCAAAACCTTTATCTTCAAGATAAAAACCAGATAAAACTATTTTTTAAAGATTTTATTTACTTATTGGACAGGTAGAGTTACAAACACTGAGAGAGAGAGAGAGAGAGACAAAGGTCTTCCTTCTGTTGGTTCACTTCCCAAATGGCCGTAACAGCCAGAGCTGTGCCGATCCGAGGCCAGGAGCCAGGTGCTTCTTCCTGGTCTCCCATGCGGGTGCACGGACCCAAGCACTTGGGCCATCTTCTACTGCTATCCCAGTCCATAGCAGAGAGCTGAGGTGGAAGAGGAGCAACCAGGACTAGAACTGGTGCCCATATGGGATGCCGGTGCAGCATGTGGAGGATTAACCAAGTGCAACACGGCGCCAGCCCCAGATAAAACTATCTTAAATAAGAAAATAAATGTATTAGTCTTCATGAATTTACATGTGAGAATGACTTCAGGCATGACTGATTCCAAGTATCAAGCCACAGATTCATGTTTATGTCTCACTTTTGACAGTGCTTTGTTCTTTTTTTTGTTTGTTGTTGTTTGTTTGTTTTTGATAGGCAGAGTGGACAGTGAGAGAGAGAGACAGAGAGAAAGGTCTTCCTTTTGCCGTTGGTTCACCCTCCAATGGCCGCTGCAGCTGGCGCGCTGTGGCCGGCACACTGCGCTGATCTGATGGCAGGAGCCAGGTACTTCTCCTGGTCTCCCATGGGGTGCAGGGCCCAAGCACTTGGGCCCTCCTCCACTGCCTTCCCGGGCCACAGCAGAGAGCTGGCCTGGAGGAGGGGCAACCGGGACAGAATCCGGCGCCCCGACCAGGACTAGAACCCGGTGTGCTGGCGCTGCTTGGCAGAAGTGCTTTGTTCTTAAAACACACCATTATCACATAGTAAGGATCTTCTCCCTGACTCTTGCTTGGTGGCAAAATGTCACGAGATGTCACCAGATCCAAGTTAAGTTAGAGCTTAGCAAAACCAGTGGGAAGGAAAACTTCTTTTTTAGTGGTTGCTAGAGAAGTTCTCAGACCAGTGTCACATGTCTGTCTCTGAATGAATCACGATGGGCAGGATGATGGATTCTTCACATTGTCTAGAGCTGGGCAAATGTTCACCTTAGGTGGACATGGGCATACTGTTCCCACTTTGCATCTACTGAGACGTGATCCCCCACGAAAAACCGAGGTGGTAACGGCACATGACAGAGAATTCTGGGCAGGTGGAAGGCACAGATGGCCTCTACAAGTACAAATATATCAAAGAAGTGTGTGGTGGAAGCAGTCACATTCTTTGACCCTTCTCTCTTTTTTTACAAAAACTGCTTCATCTGGTTGTGTTTGGTCTAGTCATGGTTTGGAATCAGTTTACAAATAACAAGCAGTTGTGCTTGAATTTCTTGAGCTCCAGAACAACTAGGACAATGCTGACAATGTGTGCCTCCTTTCTCTGTGCCTTGGGCCTGGGAAGGCAGCTCCAGGCATTTCCTTGCCCTTCTGAAGGCTGAGAAGGCTGAGACAGCCTGGAGCTCTGCCCAGAGGACACCCTGTTAAATACAGAGATGAAGATATCATGGGGCTTGGGGAATTCTGCCCTGGCTGTTTCATGATAATACCTGCAGCCAAGGAGATGAAGCTGGCTGTGGTGCCTCAGGACAGTGAAGCCCTTTGGTGCAACACCACAGACCTTGGAAGAAAGAACTTTGCTTACCCCTGGGGAAAGTTGCTGTAATTTCGAAGGTATTTCGCTGAGGAAGGGAGTCTGTGATTTGTGAAGCAGGACTAATCTGCTCGTGGGAAGCTGCAGCATGAAATGAGACAAGGTGCGATAACCTGTCAAGTTCCAGAGAGAGATGATTTAGGGGGAGATAGCGGCTTGAAAACGTGAGGATGGGTGTTACTAACTTAATCCATATGATGCCTTCAAAACAAAAAGTATATTAGGGCAAAAGGCATGAAACAGACATTATTCATCGTCTCCAGGTGAGATTTCTCCCGTGAGTTTACAGGCAAGTGTTGGCATGCTGTGTGCAGACATTTGTACAATAGATTAGAACCCCCAGATCCCCACAGATGAAAAGTAGGGGAAACACCTTTGACTCTTTCCCTTCCCCCGCCTAATTTATCTATCTCATTTATTCCAGACAAGAGCCCCTTTGCTTTGTGAAAATTAGAGACACCTGTAGTTACACAGCCGGAATCAAGGACTATCAAAGCTCATGCAGCCAGGTGTGAACAGATTGCTTGTAGAGCCGGGAAGGTGACTCTTTTCCTCCTCCTTCTCCTCCCCTCCTCCCCCCCCCTCCTCCTACTCCCCCTCCTACTCCCCCTTCCTCTCCCCCTCCAGGATCCAAGAACTTCTTCAGGGTTTCTCGTGAGTGGCAGGGACCCAGGGCAGGGAGCATCTTCTGCCTTCTCAGGCTTATTAACAGAGAGTTGGATTGAATGCAGAGCAGCTGCGACTTGAACCCTTGCACTCCAAATGTGATGCCAGTTTGGCAAGTGGTGGCTGAATCTGCTGTGCCACATTGCCAGCTCCAATCACAGGGGAGGAGGGGGAGGATCTTTAAGTAGCTTGTAATCACTTGAGTAGGTGAGCCTACTTTTTTATTTTTAACAGATATTTTTAGAGCTTTTTTTTTTAAAAGATTTTTTTTTAATTTGAAAGAGTCACAGAGAGAGAGGGAGGGAGGGAGGGAGAGAGAGAGAGAGAGAATCTTCCATCTGCTGGTTCACTCCCCTATAATGGCTGCAATGGCAGATGTTGGGCCAGGCCAAAGCCAGGAGCTTCCTCCAGATCTCCCACATGGGTGCAGGGACCCATGAAATTGGGCCATCCTCTGCTTTCTTCCTGGGCACACTGACAGGGAGCTGGATTGGAAATGGAGAAGCTGGGGCATGAACCAGCACCCATATAGGATACTGGCATCACAGGCAGTGACTTAACCTGCTACGCCATAATGCCGGTCCCTTCAGAGCAGTTTTATAAGAACAGTATTGATTTCTCTTGTGTCCTGTACTTCACCTGTGCATAGCCTCTCTCATTATTAATATCACCTCCAGAGTGGGCCGTTTGTTTTAAGCCATGAGCCTACACTGACACATCATTATTACCTGAAGTCTTGACACTGTTCTTCCAGTGGATTTTGACAAATGTAAAATGACATGTGCCCCCATGATAGTATCAGACAGAGTAGTTTCACAACTCTAAAAATCATCTGTAGTCTGCCATAGCATCCTTGGCCCTAATCCTTGATAATCACTGATCTTTCCATCATGTATTTGGAATCGCACAGTATGTAGCATCTTTAGGCTAGCTTCTTTCATTTAATAAGATGTTTTTAAGGCTCATTTCTTTTCAGTAATGAATAAGATTCCACTGTCTAGCTGTATCAGTCCCACATGATTTTGAAATAGGATTGTACCTTGGTGACAAGGGATGTCTCAATAGTGAGGCAGTTCTTAGGGGCTGCATGAGCCTTGAGTCCCCAAGGGCTTTCTTCTCTTTGTTGACACTGGAACATCACTTTTTTTTTTTTTTGCAGTGGTGTAGGGAGCAAGGGAAACCTTTTCTGTCTTTCCCCCTCTAATTTTTGTTTAGAGTTTGCTACCATCAGAGGGGAGCAGAGATACCAGTTGGCAGGAAAGGAGAAAGAATGTGGAATTTAGAAAAGGGTTTGTGTTTGGGTATTGGTTCTGCCACTGAAGAACTCGAGGTTCTTGGCAAAATCATTTTACCTCTGCTTCTGTACCATGGTTTCTCCATCTTTACAGGGAAGAGAGTGATACCCACTTGGGAGAACTAAATAGTGCAACTGATACTGTTACTCAAGTCACACAGTACAAGTCAAATGATCACTTTCTCATTGTTCTAAATGAAGTGACTGAGTCCTTCATATTATTGTCCTTGGATTGCTTCCACTCTGTCCTCCAGCTCTCTGGTGATGGAAAACTTCACAGCCATTTTTTTCTACACTGAAGGTCAGTTTTTGCTGAGTGTGATCAAGTTCAGGGGTCATATTTGCTCTGCACTTTTAGCTTATGAATGAATTTTCCTTTATTCTCATAAATTCACATCTGTCCCCCAAATCACACATTGAATCCTAGAGATCTCATAGGCTGGCCTAAGTTGAGAGTGCTCCAGTCAACTTGCAGCACCCCCACATTCAATCTGAACTGACCCTTGATATCCAAAATTCCTGGTTTGGTATTATACAGTTGAATTCTAGACCATGTAACAAGTCAGGGAGTTTTAGAGGTAAAGTCAGTTTAGGAGCAAATTTGAGAGACTCTCAGGAATACAAACCATCCACATTTCTCAAGTTAGGCTGTGAATGGCAGAGGTTGAATCTTGTCATTGGTGCTTGAAGGTCTAATAAGCCTATTTATTACTTATCTCTGACAGAGGTTATTGTAGCCTTGTCCTGTCCCCTTGAAAATGGAATCTGTCAGTCACTCCAAAAATTGAGAGAGACCACCAGATCATTGTCACTGAGTTTGCTAGTTCTGAATCTCTGTGGTTCTTGCATGATTGTAGGTTCACATCCTCCAATATGTGATAAGACCATGAGGTCAGAGGCTGTGTATTTTTTTACTATCTTTGCATCCCTTAAAACTCATAGAGCAGTGGTTGGAATAGTTTGACCCGGAGAGGAATCAAATGGCCCAGGGCTTTCAGAAAGGGAGGGGGACTGTTCGCTTGATAGTAATGGAGAAGAGGTGGCCATTTAGGCAGAGTATGTGGACTTTAAGAGCTTCATCCAGGATCAATAAGGGGATGCCAGTGCTGGCCTTAGAAGTTTTGTGCTGTATTTGGAAAAGGAAAGGCAATCCAGTAAAAAGGAAAGGGTAAAAGTGTTATAGTTTCATGACCCCAGAGAAATGACTTTCTTTGATCCAGTTAACATTTACTTCAAAAATTTTTTTTGGAAATCAAAGTGGGTATAAATGGTGAGCAAGTAAATATTTTGAGAAACAAGATTGGAAACTCTTACAAGAAAATGTTTCCAGACATACCAGGTTAAACCAAGTTGGCGTGTTTTTGGTGCCATTGATAGGCTGATGTATGTTGCAGATTTCCAAGAGATTTCTATAGTGTGTATTATTTCTCACATTTATCCTGGAAGCCTTTTTGTGCAGAACACTTTCTATGATCTCTAAAAATTTATGAAAACTGTACGTATTTTTGGTGTCCCATGAGACATTTTGATGCATCTGTACGTTTTATAGTCTCATTACACTTTAAAAAAAAAAAACTATCTGAAAGGCAGAGTTAGAAAGAGAGAGGGAGGAATGGAGGGAGGGAGGGAGGGAAGGAAGGATAGAGAGATAGAGAGAGAGAGAGAGAGAGAGAGAGAGATCTTCTACCTACTGGTTCACTCCTCAAATGGCTGAAATATCAGGGGCTGGACCAGGCCGAAGCAAGAAGCCAGGGTGGCAGGGACCCACCTGTTTGGGCTGTCTTCTGCTGCTTTCCCAGGCACATTAACAGGGAACTGGATTCTCTGTGAAACAGCTGGGACTCATACTGGCACCTATATGGCATGGTAGCATCACAGGCGGTGGCTTAATCTGCTTTGCCATGATATTGGCCCCTGTCTTCAAACATTTAACATTTCTTTATGATGAAAACACAAAAAATCCTTTCTTCTAGTTTTTTTTTTTTAACGGAGGAAGTTATAGTAAATTAATATGATCTGTAATCACCTTACTGTGCAATAGAAATCTAGAACTCCCTTTTCCTATCTAATTATAATGGCACTCATTAATCAACCTTTCTCCATCTCTCTTCCCTCTCAAGCCTCTGATAAGTACCATAAATGCTTTTAACATCTATGCAATTACCTTTTTCTTTTATACTCTACATGCATGAGATGATGTAATACTTGTCTTTCTATGCCTGACTTATTTCACTCAGCATAATGACCTCTTGTCCCATCCATGTTGTTGTGATTGACAAGATTTTATCATTTTTATGGCTGAATAGTATTCCATTTTGTATATGAACCAAATTTTCTTTATCTGTTTATCAGCAATGGAACTTAGGTTGTTTCCATTTCTTGGCTATTGTGAATGGTGGCACAATAAACATGAATGTACTGATGTCTTTTTGGTAGATTTCATTTCACTATGATATATACCCAGTTATGAGTTTGCTGGATCAAATGGTAGTTCTGTTTTTGGTTTCTTGAGGAAATTTTATACCGTTTTCCACTATGGCTTTGAAATTTATATTCTTACCTATAGTATACCAGGGTTCTCTTTTCTCAGCATCCTTATCAACATGTGTTGTGGCACCTCACTGTACTTTTGATTTGCAGTTCCAGTTTATGAGTAATGTGAGTGTTCATGATCTGTTGACCTTTGTGTCTTCCTTTGAGCAGTGTCTGGATTTGCTGTCCATTTTGAATTGGACATTTGTTTCTTTGCTACTTGAGTTGTCTGAGTTCCTTATATATTTGTTATTAACCCTTTGTCAGATGTATAATTGCAGGTATTTTCCCCCATCCTGTGGGTGATCTCTTCACTCTGCAGGTTGTTTTCTTTGCTGCACAGAAGCTCTTTTATTTGATGCTGTTCCATTTGTCTGTTTTCACTCTTTTGGGGTCTGATGCAGAAATTTCTTGCCTTTCTAATGTCCTGAAGACTTCCTCTATGCTTTCTTCTAGTAGTTTCAAAGTTTCAGGTCCTATATTTATGTCTTTAATTGATTTTGGGTTGACTTTTTTTTTTTTTTTTGACAGGCAGAGTGGACAGTGAGAGAGAGAGACAGAGAGAAAGGTCCTCTTTTTGCCATTGGTTCACCCTCCAAAGGCCGCCACAGCCGGCGCGCTGCGGCCTGCGCACTGTGCTGATCCGATGGCAGGAGCCAGGTACTTATCCTGGTCTCCCGTGGGGTGCAGGGCCCAAGGACTTGGGCCATCCTCCACTGTACTCCCTGGCCACAGCAGAGAGCTGGCCTGGAGGAGGGGCAACCAGGAAAGAATCCGGTGCCCCGACCGGGAGAGAGAGAGGGATTGAACTTAATTCTTCAGAAAATATACAATTTTTCCAGTATCTTTTATTGAAAAGAATGTCTTTTCTCTAATGTATTTTCTTAGCCCCTTTGTCAAAAATCAGTTGGTTGTAAATGTAAGGGTTTACTTTTAGGGTCTGTATTGTATTCCATTGGTTTATGTATCTAATTTTATGACAATACCATGCTGCTTTAATTGCTGCAGTTTTATATGTATGTTTATTATATGTGTATGATTATGTATATGTGTAGATGTATATATGTGTGTGTATATATATTTTAAAGATTTATTTATTTTTTTCACAGGCAGAGTTACAGAAGGAGAGGGGGATAGCGTGAAAGAGTGAGAAAGCAATATTCCATCCACTGGTTCATTCTCCAAATGGCCACAGTAGCCAGGGCTAGGCCATGCCAAAGTCAGGAGCCTGGAACTCCATCGGAGTCTCCCATCCGGGGGGCAGGGGTAAGAGTACTTAGACCGTTCCCAGGTGCTTTAGCAGGGAGCTGGCTTGGAAACAGAGCATCTAGGACTTGAACTGCTGGTCATATGGGATGCAGGTGTTGTGTATGGAGGCTTACCCTGCTGTACCACAACGCTGGTCCCTGTAGTCTTTTAAAGTCAGGTTGTATAATGCTTTCTGCTTTGTTCTTTTTGCTCAAAATTGGCTTGGCTTTTTGGGTGTTTTGTTGTTCCACACAGATTTTAATAATGTTTTTACTTAGCTATGTAAAAACTGTCCTTGGTATTTTGATAAGGATTGCATTGAATCTATAAATTGCTTTGGATACATATTGTAAACATTTTAACAATATATTTTTGTAAAAGTTTTTATTTTTAATTAATTTTTAACAGATTCAGTGTAGTATATAGATAGTTTTAAGAACATAATAATATTTCCTTCCTCCTTCCCTTCCTTCCTCTTTTTCCTCCCATCATCCTTTCTTATCGCTCTCCATTTTTTTGAGATAACACATTTTCAATTTATTACCCAATCTATGAACATAAGATGTCTTTCCATTTATATTTATGTTTCATAATTTATAGTTTTGATTGTAGAGGTCTTTCATCTCTTTGGTTAATCTATTCCTAGTTTTTTTTTGGGGGGGGGTGGGTAGTTACTGGAAAATGTATTGTTTTGAAAAAGCAAATGCATTAGTTTCTTTTTAAGATAATTCTCTATTGACGATAACAATGGTACTGATTTTTGTACTATTTGCTGTTTAAAAGACTGGTTCCCAAATTGCTGCTGTAGGATAATATTGACCACTTGGGATTCCCAAAAAGGGTACCTTAGAATATCCTTCCAAGTATAGCTTCATAAGTTTTGGGTGCTTACTAACTGCTAGGCACTGTTTTAAGTGTGTCATATGAGGCTATGCCAAACAGTTTGTGGAGGGAGGTATCATTATATGAATAACATGAAATTTGTTCCCTTTTTATAAATTAAAAAAATAAAAAATTAAAAAGTTAAAAAATGTGATTAAAAGATAATGCAAAATTTCCATGAAGCTGTTTGAATCCCCTTTGTATGCATTTATTTGTTTTTTCCTCAAAACCGCTAATTAGGTAAGAATATTTTTAATATGAAGAAATTAAGATCCAGAGATGTGAAATAATATCTTTTTTTTTTTTTTTGACAGGCAAAGTGGACAGTGAGAGAGACAGACAGAGAGAAAGATCTTCCTTTTGCCGTTGGTTCACCCTCCAATGGCCACTGCGGTTGGCGGGCTGTGGCCGGCACACCGCTGTGGCCGGCGCACCGCACTGATCCAAAGGCAGCAGCCAGGTACTTCTGGTCTCCCATGGGGTGCAGGGCCCAAGCACTTGGGCCATCCTCCACTGCCTTCCCGGGCCACAGCAGAGAGCTGGCCTGGAAGAGGGGCAACCAGGACAGAATCCGGCGCCCCGACCAGGACTAGAACCCGGTGTGCTGGCACCACAGGTGAAGAATTAGCCTAGTGAGCCATGGCGCCGGCTCAGAGATGTGAAATAATTTAGAAATAAGTGAGTTACCTGGTGCATGAGCCAAGTCATTGTTACTCAGAGTCCATGCTGTTAATTGCTGTGGTCTGCAGCCATAGCCAAAGCAAAACAGAACAAAATCAAGCAAACTCCTTCTATACTTTGTTCCATACAGTGCTTCAGTGATTATTAGTACTTATTCCAGTTTCTGGCACAGTATTTTAAAATAACTAACATTTGAATCTTTTTGGGTGGTGCCCAGACTCGCTAGTTCTGCAGTGGGCTTTCCACTCTATTGTTTGAATCCCCATCTGATATGAACTATTAGTTACTTGTCTGTTCCCTGAAAGGATTCAGATTTTCTATTCTTGATATAGTTCATTGTGACTGGTTCAGAAAATAAGGGCTTGTGGTCTGTGGGTGTTAAAACTAAATGACTGTATTTTTTTATCATCAAGGAAAATCCTGGATCCTTTACTATCAGCAAATGAAGCAGCCAAGAAGGTGGGCCTGCTCAGTGTGGCATCTCCTCAAGGTAGGAATCCTTTCTGAAGCAGTCCTGACCCAGACCTGTAATATCCACTCCAACATTCTCAATACTTGGGGAATGAGTATTTATACATGGTTCATACATGCACTAAACTAGGAACATTTGCACCCTTCATCTAAAATTTTTATCTGCTGGTTCTACCCCATAGAAGACACAGAACAAATCTTTGCTTCACAAGAGTGTCCCTTCTATTGGACAGGCCTCTGAACTTACTGGCTTCTACAGTGAATTTTCACTTGTAGTCATTTCTGTATGCTGTTCTCGGTTTTTGTCCTATTCCCATGGGTGATCAAGAGCTTGACCATGTGGCACACGCCATCTGAACAGGGTACTTGGGATGTGCCCAAGTCATTGCAGGCTGCCTTGGGACCTGTGTTCATCTGCCTCTTCTAACATGAGCCCAGATTGCTTTAAATGTGTTAGATTTTTAAAGTTGCTATGCCTTTCACATGGTTCACGTAGTTTGTGGTCCAGCATTGGCCAAGGTCTCTTTCACACAGGGTCAGATCAACCCAAGCCTCTTGTTTCAGGAAAATTGTCTTCACTTCATTCACTTTAAAAATGGGTGTGTTGACTAGGCCTGAATACTGGGTCCTCTGTGAAAGGTTTTAATGTGAAATTTGTATAATCAAGAGGAAACAGTGTCATTGATCATTTCATTTGTAAGTCTGTCTTGAGAAATAATAAATACGGTATTGATTTTCAAGAAGTGTATCATTCATATGGAAGGCAAAGATCAAGAATTGGCAATTGATGAATAGTATGAGGAAGTGACAAATTATGTTCAGCAGACCAAAAGAGCTTGTCAAAGCAAAATTAGGGCAGTGGTGTTGGAAGACATAAAATAAGGCTTTGTGGAGATGTTGGGACGTGCCCTGGTACCTAAACATTGATATAGATGAGACTAGTGAAGACTGTTGGGGTGAATTTTGTTGGTGAGAGAAATGGTGTGAGTAAAAACCCAGTGGAAGAAATGTCTGCTGTTGTAAATGTGGTAGAGGTGGTCTCGGTTTTAGGGTGAAAGGTATCTTTGAGGAGTACAGAAGGATAGGTGGGGGCAGTTATAGGTGGTCTTGCTATCTAGGCAGAGGAATTTAGCCATGAGATTGTAGGCCTTGGGGAAAGTATGAAATGACAGGAGCACTGCTGAATGAAGTCTAACCTGGAAGTGGTCTTCAGGGTAGTTAATAGGGGTGGGAGATGGAGGCAGGGAGTACAGCTTGAAGGTAACGAGGAGGTAATGAGTGACAGGACTGAAGGAGCATTTTGAAGGAGAAAAGACAGGGTTTATTTGACTGCATGGAAGTGAGGAAGAAGGATTAGGTAAATATGATTTCTAGTTTCACACCTGGTTGATGTGGATTGTGGATCCATAGAGCTGAAGGAGGAAATGCTCTGGATAAATAATTGTGATTTTTCTTTGGGCCATATGGGGTGCTGTTATTGATATGGGGTCAACCTCCCAATAATGTGGCCCTATAAAGCACATGTAGTTAGGAGATGCGTAAACTGGTGATGAGAAAGAAGAGTATCAGCTTGATAATAACTTGAGAGTGTGCTTGTCTCCTCTTCCTGTAATGCCCTGGTGTTGAGCCTTGAGTGAGCAGGCAGGTGTGTGCCTGGCACCAGTGCTTCAGAGTCAGATCTGTTTTCAAGCTTCAGCACTGCCACTTACTAGCTATGTGACCTGGGCAATCAGTGTAACCTCCCTGAGCCTCAGTGTAATCATCTGTAAAGTGACCAATAAATTAGCCTCCCAAAGAGACTAGGATCAAATAAAACCATGTACTGTCATTCACCAGGATACAGATAATGGCACATAGTACTCCACACGGCACAGATCCTGTCACAGTTGTTGTCTCGGCTACCTGGCTGCTCACAGTGACTGCTGTCTACTCATCAATGGGTTTGGGACTCTGAGGACTTGGGGCTTCAGGACTGAAGTTGTTCAGAGTGTGGGGTCTCACTGATAAACTTTTCATCACTCTGGAGCTGTTGAGCAGAGATAAAAGCATTCACCCTTCCTGAGAGCCTGGTTGGAGAAAGACACCCTCTCAGCAGGGATCTAGAGTGTTTTCTTTAAGAAGCCCCCCGGAGTGCCTGTGTGCCTCCCTGACCTGCATGAAAGGTCTTCCTTTGTCCAGCTGCCATAACACAGTCATTACCAGCTGTCCCTTCACTCAGCAACTGTCTCTGAACTCTGACAGTGATGACCTAGTGCACAGCACTAGGACATTTCTACAGACACCCCAGATCCAGCACAAACAGGGATTTGAAATAGGCCACCATGAAAGGGGCTCAGGATGCATTTCAGAAGCTTGTAGGTCACTTGACATTGGCCGTGATAATACTGCATTGGAAAAAAGAGGCCAGCTGTTTCACAGGCTGCTGTGTTAAAAAATTGTGCATATGAACAAGCTGGGTTTGGATAAGCCTGTGTATGGCAGTGTGAGAGAGGGCAGCCACGCCCATTCTGATGCAAAAAACTCTGGGAAACAGGAATGGAGACTACTGGCAGCTTTTGAAGGAGCCAGAATCCTTAGCCTTGGGCTTGGGAAGCTGTTTACACTTAGTGAAATTGTTTTTCCTGAGTGAAGTACGAGGTGTCAACTCTTGATGGTGGAGCACCCCAGGACTATGAGGTGTGAAGGACGTCCATCATTTGTCAGCCTTCATGTCAACTTCTTAGGGAATGATGTGACCTGGTCGATGTTCTGTCAGGTCCCCCAGTTCATTGAGTGCAAGTTCTGCTTTCTACTCTTCAGGACAAATAACTCAGGCCGTAAGGCACTAGGCTTCAGGCTGGCACCCAGAAAATCCCAACCGCTACAGAAAACACTGACATTCCCATTTCTTGTTCAGTGAGTACAGTAGTCCTTTTGTGGATTTAGTTTTGATTGTGGGTAGCATTTTGAAAAGTAGATTTGCATCAATAACTATTTTATAAATTTTTTTATTTTTTTTAAGATTTTATTTATTTGAGAGGTAGAGTTACAGTGAGAGGGAGAAACAGAGAGAAAGGTCTTCCGTCTGTTGGTTCACTCCCCAGAGGCCTCAACGGTCAGAGCTACACCGATCCAAAGCCAGGAGCGGGGTGCTGCTTCTTGGTCTTCCACGCAGGCTGGGGGCCCAGGGACTTGGGCTGTCTTCTACTGCTTTCCCAGGCCACAGCAGAGAGCTGGATTGGAAGAGGAGCAGCCAGAACTAGAACCGGCGCCCATTGGGATGCCAGCACCGCAGACAGAGGATTAACCTATTGCGCCACAACGCCGGCCCCATATAAATTTTTTTTTCTGAAAGAATTTATTAAGCAAGCCCAAAGAGGGAAGGGAGCTGGGGGAGGGTGTGGAAGGAAAGAAGGTAAGAATCAGGGACCTGAACATGTGCTTTTCAGCTGCCCTGGGCTGCCTGGAGCAACTCGCTCCTGTGGGAAGGGAAGCTCTGCAGATTGCAGTGAGGATTGGAGAGATTTATGCCTTGCACACTGAATACATATCCATGACTCTCCACGGCACAATTTAGAAAAGGTGGTTATGTGTCTGACATGAAGGAATATTTTATATGAAATTGCTGAAAGATCTCTGGGCACTAAGCAATAATCACCTTAATGCTTGAGAAAGTGTTCCAATTTGTTTCCCAGGGGCTTCTTGGCAGTTGGGATTTGCATGCTGTTCAGCATCCATTCTTGGGCATTCTCCATGCCACCACACTGAGCACAGGGACTCCCCTTGAAGGAAAATGCACTGCAGTCTAGGGACAAGTCTCAGTAGCTTTCAAAATGTGCAAAGACTTGGAATCTGCAATTCTACTTCTTGAGATATTTCAAAGAAAATAAATCAGAAAGAGGATGTCATTGAAAAGATGCCTGTTCACAGGGAAAGGCAAGACACTGTGGCAAAAAATGATCTAAATGAAAGATCTCATGAGTGAGATCCCAGTGGAAAGAAGGGGCCATCAAAGAAGGAGGTACCTTTCTCTGAAGGGAGGAGAGAACTTCCACTTTGACTATGGCCTTGTCTAAATAAGGTTGGAGTTTGTGAACTCAAAAGGGTTCCATAGCCTTGGCAGCACATGACAAGAGCCTTGGCTGATTACTGATGTCATACATAAGAGTGTCAGTTTTTAAATCAACAACATGAGTCACTGTGCACTTTCTCCCGATGTAGGATCTCTGTCCTTAATGTGTTGTACTATGCGAATTAACGGTAAAACTAGTACTCAAACAGTACTTTATACTTTGTTTGTCTGTGTGGGTGCAATCTGTTGAAATCTTTACTCTGTGTAGAGTTGATCTTCTGTATATAAAGATAATTAAAAATGAACCTTAATTAAGAATGGGATGGGAGAGGGAGTGGGAGATGGGATGGTTTGAGGGTGGGAGGGTGGTTATGGGGGGAAAACTGCTAGAATCCAAAAATTGTACTTTTGAAATTTGTATTTATTAAATAAAAGTTTTTAAAAAAAAAGATGCCTGTTCAGAGCATTTTTATCTTACTCTGGTATCTTCCAGAATATAATGTCTTGGAAATGTATGTACAGACACATTTTTACAAATAAAAGTGGGAAACAACTTAAATGTGCCAAAGTTGGGGATTTGGTGTTTTAAAAACCACTATAGAATGTTATGGTTTACCAAGGCAGAAAAATATTTATCTAGTTTGACTTTCAAAAAAATAAATAAATAAATATTCAGAGTCACAGAGGCAGTGGGAGGGAATAGAGCGAGATCTTCCACCTTATGGTTCACTCTGCAGATGCCTGCAATGGCTAGGACTGGGCCAGGCCAAAGCCAGGAGCTTCATCTAGGTCTCCCACATGGGTGGCAGGAGCCCAGTTGCTTGGGCCATCTTCTGCTGCTTTTCCCAGGCTGTAAGCAGGGAGCTAGATCAAAAGTGGAGTAGCTGGGATTTGAACCAGTGCCCATGTGGGATGCTCGTGTGGCAGGCAGTGGTACCTGTTATGCCACAATGCTGCCTCTAGCAGAAAAATATATTTTTGGTGAATGAATGAATACAAAAAATTTGTAGCAAATGGTTTACTTTGGTATAAAAATAGTGGAATTCATACAGTTTTTGTCATAAATGTATTTTCTATGAAATTTCTGAAGGCCACTCATATGCATGGATTTTAATTTTTTTGCCAAAGTGAACATCTTCTAATTCTACTTTCCCTGAACTTTTTGAAGTACTGTTGTGTATTAGAAAGGATTCTTGAAGGATGTATACAAATATGAAAAAGTTGGTTATCCTTAGGAGGTTAGAATATGAGTGACTTTCTAAAACATTAGCCCTCCTGTATTTGCTGTAATAAACATGGATTATATGTATTGCAAAAGGAGTCTTGCCCTTATCTTCTGTCGTCCTTGGTGCATCTGGGTTACTGCCCTGAACCCTGAGACTCTATTTATTTGACCTGCATGGAGGGTCCAGCAGAATCAATTCTGTCATGGCCCTGTGGTGTAAGACACAGCCTCCTGTGCTAAATGGAACTGCCTGAAGTAGGGTTGGACTTCAAAGAACACGTTAGTCAGTGCCTCTTAAATTCTGTTTATTGATGTCTTTCATCTAATGATCTTGGGCTATTGTTTTGGATTTATTGGGAGAATGTGGACTACTTCACCATTGCTGCAAATGACACTTTCTTACCTGCAACCAAGGGTACCAGTTGGCTGTCTTCTTCTCTGTTGGTCTCTTTCTCTGTCTTTTAAAGATTTATTTATTTATTTGAAAGTCAGAGTTAAACAGAGAAAGAGAGGCAGAGAGGTGGCACAGAAAGTTAATTTTGACATTGTATGGGTGATATCTAAAATCAGCCTCTTTGAAATTTTGCGAGTACACTGTAGATCTGTGGAACAGTTGTGTGCAGGGGAGATAAGATTTACTGGGGCTCATTTTACATTGATAAGTCTATGTCTCACTGTAGAGTTAAGATTGCAACTCAGCCTTTTCAAAGTCGTCCACCATGAACAGACCTAACATGAAAAGGGAAGAGATACTACCTCTCCCAGGGCTACCAGTTTTTTAGTCTGTTTTTTAAAGGAGAACCTTCTTTTCTCTTGGAATAAATAGTTAAAGGAGTTTAAGCAGAAATCTAAGTATTTTATCTTTACCTAATCCCATGAATATTTGAAATAACTGGACAGAGTGCTCAGCTTAGAAAGAGATCGTTTAGTTGACCTTATAGTTTTATAGATGAGAAAACAGAGATGAGAAGGATTAAGGGGCTTTTCAAGGTCCCAGAGAGAGGTGCTGATTAGACCCTGGAGCTCTCGTGTGCTGCTCTTCCCCTACTGGCTGGTGTCATCTGAGAACAGTTTTCCATCCACTTGGCTATCATCCCATCTCATCCTCATCCCAGGTCAGCTATTCTTGGGTGGAAAGTAGTTAAGAAATCTTTCCACGTGGATTCAGCAGAAAGTGCAAGAAGAGTCACTCTATTTTCAGATGGCAAAACAAGCATGAATCTAAATTCCTGTTTCTTTCATTAGATTCATGCCTATGTTGAATCCTGAATGGATGGTTCAAAATGGAAACTCACTACATATGGCCAGGAAAGTGTTTGGTGTTCTCCAGATCCTTTGGAAATCACCAAGTGAGAAGACATAAGGGCTACAAAAAAGTGACTCACCTACCCTCTGAAAAGTGGGAAGGTGAATCAGCATACCTTTGTGTGTGTGTGTGTGTATGAGAGAGAGAGAGAGACAGAGACAGAGACAGAGACAGAGATTGATTGAGAGAGTAAGAGACATGTCCAAATGGCTGCAAAGGCCAGGGCTGGGCCAGGCTGAAGCCAGGAGCCAGGAACTTCCTCCAGTTGTGCAGGGGCCCATGCAGTTGGGCTGTCTTTTGCTGCTTTCCCAGGCTCATTAGCAAGGAATTGGCTTGGAAGTGGAGCAGCTAGAACTCAAATCAGAGCCTACATGAGATGTTAGTGTTGCAGGCAGTGCCTTACCCCATGATGCCACAATGCTGGCTGCAGGATTCTTTTTTAGCTGAATTATTCCCTTACACCCTGTCTTGATATCAGGATTGGTTAAAATTCTCAGCTGTGTCATTTACTAATTATGTGGCATTAGGAAAATTCTCTGACACCTGTAAGCCTCAGTTTCTTTAAACAGAAGGGAAACATCTACTTTGAAAGGTTGTGAGACAAACTCATATAAGCCACCTTGCATATAACCTGGATAAATAAATATGAACTATTGCTTTTGCTGTTATTGACAGTTCTAGAGTAAGATGATGACATACGTTATGCAAAAAGCTGTCAAATAATTTTTAAAACACTGGAAATCACTGAGGTGGTTTATTACCCAACAGTGTACATCTTTGAGAGATTTTGAGGTATTGAGCCTTCTCTCAGTTCTAGTTAGAGTAGAGAGAGTATTTTATAAGATTTTGCTAAGAATTCTGTGTGGTGTTACAATGCCCATTTTATGATGAGGAAGCTGAAACTTTTAGGAGTTTACTACCAGATAGCACATTGGCTAGCAAAGCATATATCATCAATTTTAATTTGATAATACCTGGGCTGGTGGTATAGTGTAGTGGGTAAAGTCTCCACCTGTGATGCTGGCATCCTTTGTGGGCTCCTGTTCGAGACCTGGTTGCTCCACTTCCAATCCAGCTCTCTGCTAATGCTCCTGGGAAAGTAGTGGAGGATGGCCCAAGTGCTTGGGCTCATGTACTCATATTTGAGATCTGAAAGAAGTCCCTGGCTTCTGGCTTTGGTCTGGCCCAGCCCCAGCCATTGTGGATATTTGGGGAATGAACCAGAGGGTAGAAGATTTCTCTCTCTCTCTCTCTCTCTCTCTCTCTCTCTCTCTCTCTTTGTCTATATAACTCTGACTTTCAAATAAATAAATAAATCTTAAAAAATTTGATAGTACCCTAAGTACCTCTTATGCCACCTGCTTAAATATCTCTGTGATACCAAAAACAGAAGCCCCAATAATCCCCCTTGATATTTAAAATATTTATTTTGGTGGACATCAAGAAATCATGAAGTAGATTCATTTGTTTAATAGAATGTAATTCCATTGAGTTTTTTAAAAAAATTTATTTACTTATTTAAAAGAATTACAGAGAGGGAAAGAGAGAGATCTTCCATCCACTGGTTCACTACCCAAATGGCCAAAGTGGCTAGGGCTGATCTAGGCCAAAGCCAGGAACCAGGAGCTTCTTCTGGGTCTCCCACGTGGGTATAGGGGCCCAAGGACTTGGGCCATCCTCTGCTGCCATCCCAGGAGCACTAGCAGGGAGCTGGTTTGGAATTAAGGCAGCTGGGACTTAAACTAATACCCATATGATGATGCTGGTGCTGTAGATGGTGGCTTAACCCACTGCGACACAGCGTCAGCCCCTCCACTGAATTTTTAAAAGCCCCTTCCCCCCCTTTTTGGCAGCATTAGGAATCCTTTACATTGATTTGAGAGTGTTGAAGATTCATAAGTCTTTGGTTTATGTATTTTACAGCATTTACAAGTAAGATGCAAATTATATGCAAATGAATGAGTTACAGAGAAAATGAGTTACAGAGAAAATCCATTATCAAAATCTCATTTTTTGTTATGATGCTTTACCATCAATGTAATAGAATGTGGGAGGGATTTTTGACATCAGGAAAGCATATTCTAAGTTACCTTTTGGGTTGCATTCACGGTAAATAGCTTTGTGATGACTGTCCTGAGGAGCTCTACTTTCTCTTTTAATGATGACCTCACCTCCCTAATCCACATTTTACAAATAACTTTCCTCTTCCCATCTCTACCTCTTAAGATTTACGTTTGTTTTCCCCAAAAATTAGTATTATATAAAAGCCCTGATTAGTCTTAAAGACATTTTCAACATGAGGTTTTCTCCCTTTGGAGATGGATTGTTTTTAAATTTGTTCTGCATCCTGGTATTCTTGTTACATTGTAGGAAACAGCTGTATTCTCTGTTAGCCAGACATAAAGAATTCCTTTGCAAAGGACCAGAGATAGAGAGAAAGAAAGAAAAAAGGAAAAGACAAGAGAAGAGTGATGAAGAATGAGACCAAGAGAGACAGATGTGGAGGAAAGATGCAGTGAGAGAGAGGTGGAGAAAGAGACAGAGAAGGAATGAGAGAGAAGGAATGATGGGAAGAGAACTGTAAAGATGGGGATAGTGGGGAGTGAGAAAGGAGAGAGATATGGAAATCAGAGAGAGAAGAAAAAAAAAAAAGAGAAAGCAAGACCCCTAACTCCTCGTGAGCCCAGCAGGAAGCTGGCAGGAAAGAATTTGAAGCCAGAGGGACATATTATCCAGAACCAGGAGTTAAACTTAATTGTAAGCAGACCCTGCCTACCCCCTTCAGATGAGTGATGGGCTTTTGACATGTGACTTGGCTTGGCAGTCTCCACCCCCTGTCCGGGCTGCCATAAGGAGATACGTAATGTCTAGAGTGATGGGAAAGTCATGCCTGCAGATGGTACACATGGAGCTGCCTCATAAAATGACTCACTGTGAATCCTCACTGAAATATCTGCTGTAAAAATGATAATGGAAAAAGCACAAGAAAGGCTGAATGGGCTTGAAAGAAATTTGTTCCAGCTTTTGTAGCTCCCCTTCAAATTTTGAAAAAGACCCTACTAGAAAATGCCAGGAAAGTAATGTATCTTCTCTCTGCTAGAGCCCTCCTCTGCCACTGACCCCCAACATCAGTATGTCAGTGAGCATGGCAAGGGAGGAAGAGGTAGGGGTGGGAATTATTTGTTAAGCAGAAGGGCTGATGCCAAGGAGAAGGTTCTTTCAGAAGAAAGGGAGTGGCATTTTGGGGAGTGAGGAGGTGGACTCTCACTGAGCGGGGGAAGTGGTGTTTTGTTTGCCTTTGGGGTAGGATATTGCCATGTGGGGGTGCTTCCTAGAGAGTGAGGTCAAGACCTGGGTAAAGGCGTCATACAGAAGAGTTAGTCATACAGACCTCTGTTGCAAGTTGAGGAAGCTTTTAGGTTTAAACATCATGGAATTCTAAAAGTAGCTATTATTAGCTCCTTTAAAGTCACTGAGGACCATACTGCTTCTACATACGATCCCAAATATAGCTCAGTTTGGCAGACACAGGATCTTCCAGAAATTAGAGATACTATTTAATGGCAAATCTTATGGCTACCATCTCTTTTTGCCCCTCCTGGAAGAACTGGGAATGCTCTAGGTACTAGCTGGAGCAGGGTTAAAGGATGGATGGGGCAGATGTGATGGCATCCTAAGTCCCGAGAGTACTTGGAAGCTGGTGGTCAGGGTAAAATTGGGCTTCAGTACAGTGGAAGAGCCCCGAGTGTGGTACATCTGCTGTACAAATGGGGGGGCTTCATGGTGATTCAGGAGCAGGGTGGACATGAACAGTTGCAGGTCATAAGTGGTCCAGATAAACAGTGAAGCCATGAATGTCTTGCTAAGGTCTGAGTATGCAGAGATCTCCATGCAGTGTCCAGGATAGAGCAGAGCCCAATGCCTAGCGTATGTGGCATGGCTGGCACATCTGATGGCATGCAGACACTAAGAATAACTGCACATTTCAGAGTTGGCTTAGGTAGAGGATAGGGAAGCTGGTTGGTGGGATAGGGTGGCAGCAAGGACATGGTGGTAGGTGTGAGTTTGGGAGTTTGCAAGAAACAGAATATAATTCAGATGGTTCATGAGGCGATGAAAGGATATCCTGGAAAGATGTGTACAGAATTCAGGGAGCCAAGAAGGGATGGTAGGTACTCAAGGGCTAGCAGCCACTGGGAGCTGTTGCTACAGTAGGTCTGAGGGAGGAAGCAGAGCATGGTGTATCTGCACCCCAGTGAAAGTAGAAGCTGTTGAAGACAGTCTGCCTGGCCAGTGGTGTGATCTTGGTGCTGGGGAAGGGATAGCTACTGTTAGACAAAGGACCACATGAAGCATGGGGTGGGGAAGAAGTGCCCTGACCTCTTGACTTTCCTTCCCTCCCATTTTCTCCTGGTGTTCTCCCCTCCCCGCCACCCTCCCCCCTCAAATCGTTCAAAGCTAACTTGAATCTACCAGTGAGGGAATCCATGAGGCCAGCCCTGCAGGGCACAGAAAAAGGCATAGAAGGCTGAAGGGTAGATGGGGTTGAGGGGATTAACAGAGGGCTGCCAGCATATTTGGAAACCTACTAGATGCAGTTGTGCAGAGCGAGGTGCAGTTTGTCTGTTTGTGACTACAGGTAGTCAGAGAAGTTTACTCAAAATTAGGCTCTTGGGCCTCAGACTATGGATGGGTATCACTCTAGTGCTGATGAGCAATGAGAATGCTAACCAGGGAAACTGAGGCACAAACTCTGCCCTTTGGAGAATTCTAGTGTGATGAGAGGTGGGGGCAGAACTGAGAGTGTTGTGATTCAGAGCAAAGCTTTCCAGGGTCTCTGGCTGCAGATGGCTGATTTAGTTCTTGATTCCATCAGGTGAAGCTGGAGCCGTAGGTGCTGATGTGCTTGTTGCCCCCATCCTGATAGGTTCAGAAATTGTGCTGGGTCTGTGGCCTCCCAGAGTTAATCCTTGTTGGAGTTGCTTCGGGGTAGGGAGAGGGAAAGAATGCCTTGATCTCTACAGGAGGATGGCTGAAATGGTGGTGGCCTTGTTAACAGACACAGAATTCAGAAGTCTAGGAAGAAAAAGGCTGAGCATGATCAAGAGACTGGAGTGTTAGTTTCCTGGGGCTGCAGGGGGCATGTTGCACAGATTACAGGCCACAGTGGTATCCTCATGTAGAAGGGCCTTGAAAACATCATGAATCTCTCACAGAGCCAGAGCTCTTATTCAGCTTCAGTTCAGGAAGTTCCAGTCTCCATGATATCACCTGGGTCCTTTGGGGGGGAGTAAGAATGGGGAAGGTGTGCTGAGATGTGTGGCAGAGTGGAGATGAGAAGTGGTTGTTTTGACTTCTGGTTTTCAGCCCCCCATTTTCTCAGATTTCCTTGGAAAATGTCTTTTAAGCATGTCTTCTTGAATAAGAGTTACATGTGGCGCTGGTGCCATGGCACAGTAGGTTAATCCTCTGCCTGAGGTGCTGGCATCCCATATGGGTGCTGGTTCTAGTCTCGGCTGCTCCTCTTCAAATCCAGCTCTCTGCTGTGGCCTGGAAAAGCAGTGGAAGATGGCCCAAGTGCTTGGGCCTCTGCACCCACATGGGAGACCAGGAAGAAGCACCTGGATCCTGGCCTCGGATCGACGCAGCTCTGGCTGTTGCGGCCATCTGGGGAGTGAACCAATGGAAAGAAGACCTTTCTGTCTCTACCTCTCAAATAAATAAGTAAAATCTTAAAAAAAAAAGTTACATGCAAAAGAGGGACCTTTCTACTTCAGATGAGATTGAAAGAATCAAGCTGAGTGTATTTCTCTGTTAACTATGAAATAATTAATTGACTGTATGATGTGTACATAGAATGGATATTTATTACATATGTTAATAAGTAGTACTAAAGTGGGATTTCAAAGATGCATAGACTATATCTTGAATTATACCTTACAATCTTTTTGAATAGTTATAAAGAACATGAGGATTGATTATTTTCTAGTTATATGGTAGGGTAAATTTTGGCTCTTTTGTATTTAATTTGAGAGGCAGAGAGAAGGACGCACACACACACCACACACATGCACACGCACACACACATGCACACGCACACTGCAGCCCTGTTCTTGTAACAGAAAAGGGTGACACTGCTATGCCTTCTTTGCAGGGAGCAGTTTCAGACCACAAAGTCTGCTTGTCTCCATGTGTCCATCTTGCAGCTTCACCCACGTCCTGCTGCTCGTCTTTGCATCTTTGAACCCCTTCATCCCTTGACTGTTGTCTTTCTCACATTGATGTTCTGTAGCATCTTGAATATGGTTGACTTCCAGGTCTCAGTTATCTTAAGAAGCAGATATGAGACAGTTATAAATGGGGACTAAAATTAATAATTTGTTAAAAGTTTTTGAAGAAGTATCTGAAATTTCAATGTAAAATTCTTGAGATAAGTAAATCCCAACTTTAAGTGATTGTGCTGACACTATTCATGAAAATTCAGATGAGGGCCATTCTTCTGTATTGTACTGTATACATGAATTATGTCTAATTGCTGCCTCCAGAACTTGTTTAGCTTAAGTTAAATTTTGACTCTTACTCTCTAGCTTATTATTTCTGTGGTTGGGACTTAACCAAGGCAGAGGCTGTACACTGTGGGCACCTGAGTAGTAGAAAATATTCTCGCTCACCCTTGAAGCTTAGACCCTATTGGAGTGCCATATTGTAAGTATGGAGGAGGTATCAGAATTGTACAGGGACCATGAGACTGAATGATCTGGAATAGTTCCTAAATGATCAGTATTATAGTCAATGTAAGTACAATGCCATCTGTTAGATTGCATGTCCCCAATTTTAATTTAGAAAATAATTCATATTTCTTCTCTGACCTTCCTGAACTCTTTGGCTGGGCTGGGTGTGGTGTTGCAGGATAGCTGCTGACCTGCCTGGTCTGGCCTAAGCTGGCTGTACCCTGACAACCCTGTGGTTTTTTTGACCCTCGAATTCTAGTTTGTTTTCCGGCTGCATTTGCCATCAGCTTTCAGGGTTAGATTGCCTTGGCTTTCATTTGGAATGAATGGCTTTAGGTTATTGTGACTATTACCTCTTTGTTTTTCAGTGACTTTGGTTAAGTTTCTTTCTGGTATTTTTTGGTCAGTGTAGGTTACATACACACAGCCTAGGACTGAAGGAAGCCCCCAGAGAGATTTAGCCATTCCTTCTTTTCCCCTTGCACCCTGCCCAAGTCACAGAGGCATCGGAGACCCTTGACTGTGCCTTCTTTCTCTGCTGCTTGAAAGAGAGTGTGTGGTCACTTCTATGGACTTTTTTCTGGTCTTTTTTTTTTCTTTGACAGGCAGAGTTAGACAGTGAGAGAGAGAGAGAAAGGTCTTCCTTTTTCTGTTGGTTCACCCCCCAAATGGCTGCTACGACCTGCGCGCTGCACAGACCCGAAGCCAGGAGCCAGGTGCTTCCTCCTGGTCTCCCATGTGGGTACAGGGCCCAAGCACTTGGGCCATCCTCTACTGCCTTCCTGGGCCACAGCAGAGAGCTGGACTGGAAGAGGAGCAACCGGGACTAGAACCTGGCGCCCCAACCAGGACTAGAACATGGGGTGCCGGCGCTGCAGGCGGAGGATTAGCCAAGAGAGCCACGGCGCCGGCCTAAATGTACCCTTCTTTAGTTTCATTCATTGACATGTAATGTTAAAGATTTGGGTTGGGAAGTATTATGTTAAAACAGTTTTGCTAGAGGATTTCCTTGCAGACTCTGTTTCCATCAAACCTTTATATAGTACCTTTGTTTTATTGCTTAATAAAAGTAATATGGAAAAGTATAAGTAATTTAATTCTTTAGGCAACTTCCTAGAAGTAAAAGTGCTGACCTTATATAGAGCATAAATATTTTAAAGACCTTGAATATACGTATTGTAGAATATTCCAGAAAGTTTACACCAGTTCACATTCCTGCCAATTGAACAAATGAACGAATTCTTATTAGAATTGAGTATTATTATTACTAATAAAACCATTGCTTATGATAATTGAAACTGTTGTTATTTTTACTCCACTTTTTAAATTACTAGTGAGCTTTATAAAAATATATCAGCAAGTAACAAATGAATATTTAGTACCTTTTTGTGTCCTTACTTGTAGGGACAGAAATGTCACATTTTGAAGTACTGAAATGTATTTGTCTTTCCCTTGTTTTCTTTTTAATTTTCTCTCTAGAGGGTCCTTTTTCCTTCGGAAGTCATCCATATTTTTCTCAGATTTTTTAAAAATGGTTAAGTGTTACAAATTTAGTTTTTAATGGGCATGAAATTTATTTTACTGTGTGTGGGAAAATGGAGTTAAAAGATAAGTTTATTTATTTTTAAAGATTTATTTGAAATGCAGTATTAGAGGGAGAGACAGAGAGATAGAGGAAGATCTTCCATGCACTGATTTGCTTTCCAAATATTCACAATGGCCAGGGGTTGGTCCGTGGAGAACTCAGGATCTTGGAGCTCCATCTGGATCTCCCATGTGGCTGGCAGGGGCCCAAGCACTTGCACCATCTTCTGCTGCTTTCCCAGGCACATTAGCAGAGAACTGGATTGGAAGTGGAGCAGCCAGGACTGAATCTGGTGCTCATATGGGATGCTAGCTTTGGCCACAATACCAGCTCCATAAATTTATTTCAGTGCAAATTTTTTTTTTGAAATCCATGCACATTTTCTTCATAATACATATTTTCATGAACTTTTTGAAGACTCTTTGTATGAATGGCTTTCAAGCATTTTGTACCAAGATAAACTTACCATTTAATTCCATTTTCCGTGAACTTTTGAAGTGCCCTCATTTTGTTAATCTAAATAGATTTCTCCTGTTTTTGCAGTTGGGCAGGAAAGCTATTAAATTGTGCATATGTATTTTGTGTTAGACACTTCATTTTAAGAGGGTTTCAGTTAATTTGGGGCTATGAATATATGCAAATAACTAATTTTGGCATGTGCAAAGGCAAACAACTAAAAGAAAAGACATGAAAAATGATTTATATATAATTAATTCAATAAGCTAAGTGTAAAAATACCTTGAAGGGGAGATGGTTTTAATATTGCAATAATGCTTGAATTCCTTCTGTACAGATATTCTAAGTAACATGTGTAAAGTTGGTGATTTATAACTTCCAGATATGCTCTGTAAAGCCAACCACAGGCCTCAGTTTCCCTGTCAATCTGCACAGCATACCCAGACACACATGGCACTTTCTCCCCAAATGCAGGTTTTTATGCTCACCATTCAGAATCTGGGCAGCAGCGTATTATTTCAAGCAGATTGATGCCTCCAGCAGGCTCTGTTGCCTTCTGTCTCCATACACTTGCTGGTGGGGAGGGGATTTCATAAATGAAAACAGGCCAGGCCTTACTCAGTACAGTCTTCCTGCCCAGAGCCATTTTTTTCCTTTCAACAACTAAGTCAGGTGT